TCCTCGCGCTTGCGATTCTTGGACGTCGCGCGAGACACGCCCGTCCCGGCCGTCCCGATACTCCCGTCTTTACCCGTGTACCGCGTGAACAGACTGGCCGACGTACTTACGCGAGAGGTAGCGACCGACACGTCGTCCGGGATATCGACGCCCGTGCCGCCGGGCCTCTCTCCCTCGTAGAACGCGAGCGGGTCCTCGGCCGCTTTGCGGCGGAGCTCCGCGATGCGGGGCACCTGCGCCAGAAGCTGGGCTTTGCAGTCCGCGAGGAACTCGGTGCTGCTGCTCAGAGCCTCGACGAGGCCGTTGTCGAAGACGGTCGGCAACAAGTCTGCGCGACGCTCGCGGGCGATGAGGCGGAGGGCCTCGGCGAAGTGGTAGCCCTTGCAGAGGCACTTGACGGCCGTCTCGACGGAGGCGAGGTAGTCTGCGTGGATGGTGGCCGCGGCGGCGTATTCTTTACCTTCCCAGAGGGCGTCGGCCAGGGACGAGGCCAGTTCCGCGAGGGCTTCTTCCGACGGCGGCGGGGACTGTTGTTGTGCTGCGAAGAGGGACTCGCGCCAGCATGTCACGCCGGCCGCGCGGTAGCAGCTGGTGGCTTTGGCGAAGTTCTGCAGCGTCTCGTAGGCGAGGCCGGCGTCGCGGTACTTTGAGTTCGATTCGAGGTAGCTCGCGTACAGCCCCGTGAGAGCCTGGTGGCGCGCTTGGTCGTAGCGGTAGAGGCCGAGGGCGTCCTGATAGAGCGCGTGCTTGGTGGTGTACCTGCACAGCTCGTCAAAGGCGTCGAGGGCCTTGAGGTGCAGCAGGGCCTTTGCTCTGCGGTCGAGGTGGTCGTCGATCTCGAACTTGCGGCGCAGGTCGGGGAGGTTGTGCAGGTTCTGGATGAAGGGTAGGTACTCCCTCGGATCGCGCTGGGACTGCTGAGCGACGAGCAGGGCGAGGTCGAGGTTGTACAGGCCGAGGGCATTGTCGTAGAGGCGGTTGACGTCGACGAGGAAGCAGATGTGCTCCACGGCCTTCTCGGCGAGTTTTTCGTCCTCCTGCATGAGTTCCGCGACGAGGGTGAGGCCGTCTTCGAGGGCGGGCGGGACCTTGCAGACGTGCGCGGTGATGATGTTTTGCAGATTTGTGCTCTTTTTGGTCTGGAGGCTCTTGAGGATGGCGTCGCAGATCTTGTTGACCTTGGACTTTGAGGAGGCGTCGGCTGGTGCTGGCGTCTCAGTTGAAGGCTCGAATGATCTTGCGGAGCGCTTTGTGTCCTTGTACATTGTCTGCGTGACATCCTCGTCCCTGGTCGAGTTAGATTTGTTACCCAGAGTCTCACGAGAGAAGGGCAACTTACCTGAGAGATGACAGGAACAGATCAATGTAGGAAATGTCCTTAAGCTGGTCAAGGAAGAGACCGACATTGGACAAGAACTGGCTCGGCTGGTGATCGTAGAGGATGTTCATGTCAACCCTCTGCGTACGACAGAAGGCGAAGGCCCTGCCGTAGTTCTTCTCGTCGACGAGCTGCCTGATGCCCGCAACAACCATGGCGCGGGGGGAAATGGTCTCTAGGTTACCTCTCGGCATCTGGAGAACCAAGTTCATATTGGTCGGCGTGGCTGTCACGAGGCGGGCGCCTCGCTCGATGCTCCGGCATCTCTCATCGATCTCTGGATCATCTCCAGGGACTTCCATCTCTGTGGGAAAGGGGTCTTAGTGCTTCTGAAACTGGCATCTCCAACATGGAAATAGGGGGCACACTAACCTTCAGGGTCTACCAAGTGAACAAACTTGACGAAGTGGTTATGGGTCGTAAAGATGATGTGTGCAGGGGTAACGACAAAAGAGGTGCAGTTCTTCGCCAGCTGCTTCGAGTTTGCATAGAGGTGGCCGTTCCTCGTCATTCCAATACCTACACTGCGCCCATTGATATTGTGCAGCTCACACCACGGCAGCTGCATCGACAGCTGTATCCCTAATAGCAGCTCAGGGGCTTGGGTACCAGTCACCGAGTACAGCTTTCCAGAGCGGTCTTGAGCACAGGCTTCAACTCCGGAGTCTCCTTCGCGGCTGAACAGCGACGAAATAGTCTCCGTCTGTCTAAGCTGAACTGCCCCTGAAGCCTTGATGGAGCTTGCCTCGATCGTGTAGCTCTCGAGCTTCAGACCTCCGTCGGAGACGAGGACGCGGCACTCTGCGGCGCTGGAGAAGGCAACCTGCAAGGGCACACGGGTATGGGTGTCCGCCTCGAACTCAATCTTGGCATTGGGCGTGGGCTTGATCGACCGCTCCCCCTTTATCTGCCATTCATAGACCTCCAGCCCCTTTCGGTGCAACACCGCCATGAGCTTGTTGCTCGGGTCAAAGACGGCGTCCAAAACACTGCTCGGGAACTCGAGTTCGAAGAGGGCCATGGGCGGGGGTACCTGAGCCGTCCGGAAGGGCGTGAGCTTGAGAGTCTGTCCGTCGATGACGGTGACGGCTCCATGGTCATGAGGAGGGCTGAGTGATCCGCGGGAGACGGTGAATATGTACTCGGCAACGTTCACAGTAGCTGCGACGTAGTCAGTAAAACGTCGTCTGAGTGTAAAAAGGGGGCTGAGGAAACTCACCTGTGGTTGCCGAGACAAAACGCAGCGGCTTCTCGGGATGCCACGCCAAACCAGCAAACGCAGACGCCAGTGGGATCTCCTGCTTGAGATACCAGTGATAGTTGCCCGTCGTCCACAGCTGTATCCTGTCACTCAGAATTACAGCCAAGACTGTCGAATCCGAGTTCCACTCTAACCGGATCTTCTCGTGCGCGCTCAGGGGCCCATCGGCGCTCCGCAGCGTAAACTGCCCATGACGCAGCCCGTTCCTCTCAAAGAAGACGACGTCGGTCCGGTCCTCGAACCTCTGGATACCCGCGATCAAATTTCCCGACGGCCTCCAGCTCAACCCGCCCTCGAGGTGGTCCACAGGCTCGCTGACGCTGTCGAGCACACCCTCACGCGAGTACACCCTCACGACCCGCCTCGCGCCGCCTGCGACAGAGTTGACAGCGACGTAGGCGCCGTCGCCACGCCAGCTGACGGCGGCGGCCCCATCCTCGTTGACGCTCGGCAGGCCCTCGTCGACCTTTTCGGGGATCGTCGGGTCGCGCATCGCCTTGGCGCCTTTGCCCTGGAACTGCGTCTCCTTCTTTCCCCAGCCGACGGATACGTGCTTGGAGAGCTTGAGGTCGTCGGCCGTCATGACCACGTCGGCGATGGGGTCGAAGGTCCGGCCCATGAAGACGGCGTTGCCTTCCTTGGTGACGACGACGAGAAGCTCCTCGTCCGGGGACCACCGCGCGGCGGCGATGCCGGCGTCGATGGACCCCACGATCTCGATCTGGACGTCGGCGCCGTCATCGTCTTCTTGGATGGTCACAATGTCACCACCTTCGAGGATCACGCAAGTGGTGAGTGTGTCGCTGAAGTGATGGATGCTGAGGACCCTGTCCGCGGGCAGGTCTGGGCTGGGACTCGGCGCATCCCAGCTTGTGACTGTGTGTGATTTACTATGAGAGCCGTGTTAGTCTGAGTTCAGACCGTTTGACTTTCTTCAGTACGTGAAAGCTGGTGGCACGTTCAGCCACACCATGAGATGGAGAGATATGCACCCCGGTATCAAGGTCAGAATAACCTCACAACCGGGGCGTGATATCAAATTGAGCCAAATTCCAGAAAATGACATAGACGACATGGGGGGTAACAACCTTCACAAAACAAGTAACATGAATAAGAGCAACAGTGAAACAGAGCATACTACAACACGAGTAAACAAATTCAAGGGGGGAAATAAAAAATGGCGCCACACATTTGCTGTTGCTGGTGGTGGTCCGACAGCCTCACCAGCTCAATGGTGGCTTTCGCCTCCGTCGGCCCAGTCGTGCAGAGAAGCTCGTCTTTGGCGGGGTCCCAGCAGCAGGCCGTCACCGCCGAGGGGTCGACATCTTGCTGCTGCTGCTGCTGCTCCCAAGCGCTGAATCGAATGTTGCGCAAGTTGCGCATCTTGGCCCTCTTTCTTGCAGCGTTACAGCTCCCTAACGCATGAAAAAAACAAAGTATCTTGGTCGGGAAAAGGGTTTCGTGCCGACTGGAGTTCGGGATGTTATGCTCTGCCTTCGGTCGCGAGAAACTGGTGAGTCGTAATGCGAGCCGTCCTGTTCGTCACTGCAACTTTTTTTTTTTTTCTCTCTTAGGCTTCCCGCTTGGAAAAATCTCAATGCGATAAAGCCCAGCCAGCCAGCCAGCCCGCCCTACGAAAGGCGGGACGAGGCGGCGGCGGCGGAGGGGTAACTTGGACCCCGCCGAGGTACCGATGTACCTCACGGCGCCAGTTAAGGTAAGGTACGTTACCTACCTTACCTGAGGTACATCCATCCACCTCATCCCGTCGCAGCCCACCTCAGTCAGCCATGCAATCTACAATTCAGGAGCAAGCCCGCGCAAGCCACAACCTCTCCCTTTTGCTCCTCAAGCTGTGTTGTATTAGTGTAATGATCTCAGAGGGCGATACTAGCCGATGGCCTACAGCTTCAGCTACCTCTAGGTGCTTGAGCCACTTGACCTTAGCCTCATGTCTATCTAAAGCACAATTTCACCTTCCTAACATGACGGACGCTCATCATCAGACGGAATCCCACGCCACGGCCAATTCCGAACATTCAACGTCCCGTCACTTATGCAAACCAAACAAGCATGAACCTCATAAAGCGAGATTAGATAGGTACATGACATAAGATGGAAAAACATGCCATGGAACTCAGAGCAAGAGAGAGAAAAACACTCACATGCATCTCTCTCGACGGCGAAGCCCTCTCTGCATGAAGCAACCCAGGAAGGCAAGCAACTTGCAAGTCTCGTACTAGAGTCAGCTCATTCCACCTCCATCTCAGCACACCTTCCCACCGAAACGTTACAGTGAGAAGGGGCCTAGAAGAGGCTTCAGCACCTTTTCGAGTTCCCTCCCTCCCGTCCCCTACCCCCCCTCCTTGAACCGATAACCGTGGACGGGACGAGAGAAAGATTGCATGATCCGGGTACGGGTACCTACCCGCCGCATAGTAATACCCGATCATAACCCATGTACCGAGGTACCTACGTAATCATGCAATGAGAAGGCCAATCCCCGGAGGTCTCCGCCCAATCACCACACGATTTCTCGTCCCCGCAAGACCCGCACCAGCAAATCACAGGTCAAGATCCAGTCATCCCGGGGGCGGCCAACATCCAGAACCGCAGTGCACACGCAGTTACGGTTGTCCTCGGTATCCTTTTCCTGGACTTCCCTCTCCTCCTGAATGCTGCCTCCCCGGATTTTGCCATTAGCGCATATGCTTTTTTTGTGCATTCCCACCTCCAATTTCTCGCCAGTCTTGTTGCCCGTCCGTCCGTGTGTCACTGGCTGAGGTACTTTGCCTTAGCCAAAAACCTCTTCTCCTGCTCCTACCGACGCCTCCTCAACAAGCTTTTGCTGCAGTTGCTTTCTTTCCCCAACCCTTTTCCTTCTTAAAGACCTGAAGCGAAACCACCCGAACTGCTTGCCCTCCAACCCCCCCCCCCCCTTCCCCGTGCATGCCTGCCAGTCCAACAACTGTCTACACCTGTCGAACGAAACTCATTATAATTCTTAACCCTTGCTTGCTCGCTTATCAAATATCGTCCCTATCCCCCAGCCGCCGCCTAGATTCACCTACCATATAATACAAGTCTCAGGGAAAAAGCAAAAAAGTAGCAATGGAGGAGGCATATAAGCAATACGCGAACCAAGCGCGTCGCAAGAACCGCTCCAGCACGAACCTCAACCACCTCTCCCTCGCCCCCTTCACCTCCCGCATGCCCCTCCAAGACGACGACGCCCTCCCCGACCACCTCACCTCGCCGCACCACAGCACCTCCTACCTCGAGGGCAAATCCGCCCCGACGACGCCCGGCCTGCTCACCCGCTCGCCCGCCCGCTCAAACTCCCACGCCCGCCGCGCCTCAGTGCCGCACGCCGACCTCCCCAAGAGCAAATCAGCCACCCACCTGACGCCCGCCGCCGATAGGAAATCTCGCAGCCGAAAGGCCGTCTCCGGCACTACCTCGCCGACGGTACGCCGCCGGAAAGATGATTTCTCGATCCGAGATCGGAACGATAGCGATTGGCTCCTCCGCACCGGCGCCCTCATCAGCAACGAGAACCGCGAATCAAAGGGCCAGGCGTGGCTGGTGTCGAGGCAGAGCTCGACGAGCCTGACGGGTATGCGGGACGCCGACGAGGAGGCATTCGAAAGGGAACTGGCGCGGGAGCGGGAGCTCACCAGCAGACGCAGCAGCCGGCGCGGCAGTCTCGCTGACCTGGAGGGCGCGGGCTACGTCCATTCCGCCCGGCCTAGTCGTCCTGGGAGTCGGTCAGCTAGCAGAGTCGGCGGCACCCGGAGCCAGATGTTGACGCCAATGGAGCGCGAACGTCACTCTCTCGAGGAGGGATACTTCCCCCGCCACCACGACGGCGAGGACTACATCCCCGGCCCGGACTTTGTCAATCTCGACGAGCAGCTTGAGTCATTCGACTTTGACACCACGCAAGACGACGAGGCCGCCGTCAGGAGGCTGGTCAAGGGCGAGAGGGCCGGCGGCGCCTCCTGGGTCGGGAACATCCTGGGATGGCCATTGTTCGCCGTCGAGGAGAACGAGGAAGAGTCTGACGACGAAGACGATGTCGACGGGGACGAGTTCGAGGGTGAGGCTGACGAGGATGGGGCGCACGGGCTCCACCGGTCGTGGTCAGCCCGGCAATTTGAGAGTGTTATCGGCGCCCCGGAAGAGCGGATTCCGCCTCCAAAAGCAAACGAGGGTGGCTGGCAGGACGCGGCGTGGCTGCTCAGTGTGGCTACCAAGGTTTTGCTGTGAAGAGGGCAGGAGAAGAAGGATTCAGCGAGAAGGAGAAGAGGACATTTTTTGTCACCCCCCATTGAGCGAGGAGAAGGGGGGAAAAAAGATGGCATAACCACCACCACCACCGCCGCACCCTCAAGAGGCCCCATCTTCGGACCGCTTGAGAACGGTGGAGTGGGTATCATGAACCAGCCCCAGCAAGACTGAAGCTTCATCGTTAGACTATTTGAGAACCCCGGCAGCCGAAACTCTGCAGGGTATATTTGCTTGCTCCAAATGGCCCCACGTTGCTTTCCTGCAAAATCCTTCGAAAACTTCGATATGCTGCGAGGAGGGGAGCGGCTCCTCTCGAAGGTCCGCGTCTCGGCCTCAACAGGTGCTTCTCGTACCCGGAACAGGCCCGTCACCTGCCAAATAGTTCAGCTCACTACCTATTGATCACCAGCCCTCGTATTTCGGCATTGAATTGTTGCGAAGCTTCCCAATCATGGGGGATCGACACTGCAAGATAAACCTCGGATGCTGGTTCCCAGGGCTATGTGAAGCACTTCCCTCATCTTAATAGCGGCACTGCTGCGAGTACCATATCTAATAAAATTCCAACGATTCCATTCATGATGGCCGTAGATCGGGTTGATGCTTGCCGTCCACAAGCAGCACGTAAACCACGTGACATGTACACCGATACGGGACCGGGCTATCGCCCCCGGTTCCGGCCATATTGACTTGAGCCCCGCTACCTCTTGTCATTGACACCAAAAGCATTGGCTCTGGGTCGAAGGGGGGTGGGCGTCTAGAAAAACTAGAGAAAAAGCCTAAACCAGCACAACGGCGCCCCATCTGGTTGGAATGGACCACCGCGAAGAGTGAAAGCGATCCGTCTGAACTATCGTCGCAAAGGAACGCCCGCCCCTCTCTGCAGACAATGGCGGCCGGCCAAGCCGGCGTGAGAGGGACCACTGGCCGCATAGTAGGACCAAAAAACCGGTTTTGGCAGTATCACCTCGCGCTTGCATGCAGCAGCTGGCGGGAACCTCGTGTTGTCTCTCGCAGATTGGCTTAAGGCGCGAGACGGTGTGAAAGCGGTTGAGCTGGGTTTGTGAGCTCTCGCAATCAACACATCGCAAGCTGTGGTTGTGAACCATACCCCTGAACCATTGATCGCATGGCTCTAGATAGTCATGATGATCACTCTCTTTCACGACTGTCTGTCCCTTCGTACGACTGTGAGAGACATGGCGCAGAAGTCTCAGATCTCAACCAGGTGAATGACAGGTATCCTTGTGGAGTTCACTCCCGGATGTATTGCGGAGAGTTAACAGGCCAAAAGTCATTGGTTGCTCAAACGCGTTGGCGTGATGTGCAATACAAGTTCCTTTCTAGACATTCATCTTCACATAGCGTCTGATGATAGACGCTGCTCTTCGAGCTGGAGTCCGATGCGTCTTTGCAGAGACTCCAGCGTGAACTTGCCGATGTCGTATGGACTGCCTCATCATTCTGCCGATACACCACAGAGTCAATCATCGGTTATTAGCAGGCGGTGTCACCATTGTAGTGGTGATCAAGCCTGCCGACCGTGACCAAGTTTGCAGCGGGGAAGGCGGATATACCGGCTATGAGTGAGAGGCTATGAGCACCACAGTCCTCAGTACGGATACAGTAGCTGGCTAGCTTCAAGGTGACTTGATTGACGATGTAAAATATGTCACCGTATATTGACAATTGGTCGTGCGATAGTCGGCTTCCCTCCACTCATGCGACGATCGAAGTTTTGATGGGAGGAGTCAGAGACTCAGAGATTCTTGTCAGTTCGGCCCTCTCCCCCGCCTCGAGACCTGCCGTTTTCCCTTGCTTGGCGCATGCGTGACATCAAAGTTCAACCGATCCAATGATCAGATGGCTAGCCGAGTAATAGCGGCTTGAAGATCTCTTCCTTCATGCAATCAATTGTCCAAGGGGTCTAGAAGGCGGAATGAGGGTGAAATGTCTTGGCCAGCAGCTGTCTCTGAGTAAAAGAGCTCCGAAAAAGGCTGGATCCCATAGTGGTGGAGACGGGCGTGAACGGAGGTCGTGGAGATGATGTGGTATGCCGATTTGCGCTCAATTGTACCGACCGTCGAGGAAAGTGGATCTTCCGTAAAACACGGGATATCTCACTGGCGTTACGGTTCCGTACTACTGGAGTCCCAAGGTCTCCTGACACCCGCAACCTTTTATTGTCTCTGGCAGAGCCTCAAGACCGTATAATCAGCCCTAGCACCTCGCGAAGCTTAATTTTTCCACAAAGAGTAGATGTTAACACGCTGTATCTGCACTAGAGCGTAAATGCCGATGTTTGCACCGCTGCAGTGCTTCGAAGAGGTGGTCATGAAGAGCGACTTGTTGTCGGCGTTGGGCTGGTGATGGAGCGCGTGTCGTTGGCATAGACCCTGAACGGAGGGCAGCGGACCAAAACGGAAACGTCGTCCACTCAATGCACCCTGGTCCATGCAGGCTTTGCAGTGTAACCCACCGATGACGTTCAAGCGCGGTATGACGTCTGGCAGAAACCCAGCTCCAGCCCCCAGACCTGAGTGCATATGCAGATGCTCCACCCTACCATTTAACCACATGAATGGATCCCAGTAACACAGACCTGTGGTGGACGGGACCTTCTAAACCGGCCAAACAGATTAGGAAAATCCTTTTTCTCCCGCTGGGAAAAAGTACGCCAAAGTGGAGTGTCAACTGTCGGCCGAGAGAGTCTAGCCTCTGTCGACCAGGCTGTGTTCGAGATGGTTCTGCAGCGGTGTGGGACCGTTGCTCACCGGGCTCCATGCCACCTTGCTGGAGGGAGTGGTATTCACTGGATTGTCAGCATAGCTTTGAGACTTGAATCAGGTACAGATCGTCAAAGTAGTTGGACGGGTATGGACCCTGCATTCCAACCTTCTCCCCACCTCTCGGCGCTCCTCTTTACTCGAGCATTTCTATCAGCATTTTCGGCCGCTGACCTGGCGTATGCCTTTAACCCTCCTGCCTTATTTGGGTCCTCCCATCGGTGTGGAGCGGTGAATCACTTCGTCGTGAAATCCGATAGTGGTGTTGAAGGTGTGTTATCATCGAATTTGCCACAACATGAATGATTTGGAGCCTTCTCGGCCGGCATAGCAGGACCTGGAAATTAGCCAAGGATCGTCACACCAGCTCACTTCGCACCGCGGAAACGTGACTGGATTCTCGTCAGCCCAGACTCCAGAGGTACGCAGTGGACCATTGGTAAGCCGGATCGTCCGCTCAGAAGTAGAGGGCTGCGTGTTCGGATGGCTCCCCTCTGAGGGTTTGGATTGTCGAACGGTGCATGGCCTTGTGGCTAGTTTGCTGAAGGGCAGTGTAGGGCCTGGCATACAGCGCATGCGGTCGCCAGGAAGTCGCTGACGGGAGTGACGAGAAGTGATGGCAGAGCTGCAGAGAGATGTGAGCAGTGCAGAAGACGTCTGGGTCAAAGAGTTCCAACCCAGATCAACGACTCTTGGATGAAGGCACGCCAAAGAATCCAAGCTGTCGACTAAGTAATACTGTGCAAACAGTCCTCCAGCATGGCGGGTATCGAATGAATGAATCCAGCGGAAGGTGCCGATCCCTGCTTCTCCACGAGAATCAGAGGACCGCGTTCAACTGACAAATGCAGGGCGACAGTCTTGCATCGTCAAGGTGAAATAGCAACCGCCGGCAGTAGTGTGCAGGGAATCGACTCAAGGAGGGGTAATCCGTGTCGGTTTCGTGCGTCTTGTACTGTGACCATAGCGATTGGTAGATCCCCAACCCACGACCGGTGGTTCTTGGTCCAGAAGCTTGTCGAAGGAAGGGATGGGAGCTGCTCGTGTCCGTTAGGCCACGGCGCAGTACTGCGTCAAGTGTACTAGAAGTCAGTGGCTCGAGGCTGAATATTGCAGTTGTCTGACATCCATGGAACCGAAGTAGGGCTGTTTCGTGGCGTGTACTTGTAGACGGAGGATATTCCCTCGTGTGGGAACAACTTGGAGGCAAGGATCGCAAGGAGGAGTACAAGAGTCATGGTAAGAAAGCAGGGGTTCCAAGGCAGATCGACTGGAAGGCCTGCGAGAAAATGAATATTCCAACCCATGGTCACAATAAGGAAAGGTGGTCGTCTTTGATAGAGGACCGAGCTTGATCAGATGTGTTCTATGGCAAGCCTACAATCGCGAGACAGATTGGTATGAATGTTGTAGAAAACCCTACAACGGGAAACTGCTCGGCACTGGATACGCAATGAAGCTCTTTTCAGTGTGCAGTGCTTAAGAACGACTCAAGCAAAGTTTAATGGAGAAGTTGGCGATTTCCTCAGTTTGACAATGGCCAGAGTGCTCTTTGTTCTTTAGGGAAAGAGCGCCCCATACATAAGGGGATGCTTGCCGCGTGCCCGTTGGCTTGGAGGTTCTTCCCGGCAGGAGCAGGTCGCCCTGCGAAAGTACCGCGTTCTAACCTTAGCTACCCGCCCTGCATGAGACTTCACCTCAGGCTTCTACCTGGGGAGGCAACGGAAGTTGCTTGACTTTTGTTGCTTCCGCGTCGAGTCTTTCATTGTCTGGAGCTAGTCAGCACTGTAAGGTACCTTAACTTACCTGAGGTATGCAAAGGTAAGGTATGGCCAGGTACGTTGACGGTACATGGACGGGTTGGCTCTGATGATGCAACTCTGGCGACGCTTCGATTAGTTCCATTGTCAGGTATGAGGTCAGGTAGACACGTCTAGACCGCGTTTAGTGGGTATTCCAGCCGCCTGTCTCCCGGTTGTCATTGCCCGAGCCTCCAGTTTTATTTCCTTTTTTCCCCCCTCTGCTTCCTTTGTATCCGCCAAACCTCAGCTGCGTTGACTGACAAGAACATCCAATCCATGAAAACTATTCAATGTACGCAGTGAGAACCAATCCAAGCCATCCCAGTGCATCGGGTCGTTGCGACTGTTCATATCAAAGGCAGGCAGCATATCTCCCTCCATCTCCGAGCTGGCGCGTCTTCCATCCATCCTGTCATCATCCCCTCTGATTATACGGATTAGATACTTCCTTCATCCTGTTTCTTGTTCGCTACCGGTCCGAACAGTCGTAGTCAAAAAGTTCCAGTCTGCTACACCCCGCCGCCGTCACTGCTGCCGCCGCCGCCTCCTCCGTCCGGCAACCTCTCACGTTCTCACATTTCTCACACACATTCGCAAGACACACATTCGCCGACGCACATAACAATAAGGTGGCATTCCCGGACGAGGGCCCTGCAGGAAAAGACGAAAGAGCGGCCCAATCCCGCCGCCGTATCCTCGCTTGACCCTGTCCTTTTTTGGCAACCCTGGCTCCTGGCTCCCCTCCCCCTCCATCGTCACCCCTCCATCGACCCTCCCGCGCTGCTGGTGGTGCTTGGGCAATAACAACGGACGGCAACCGCTCGCATCCTGAAC